TTACTTGTTAGACGCTTTTATCCAAAGCTACTTACATACTCAATACTGTGGCCAATCCCCACAGGATTAATTTGGGGTGAAGTGTCTCAGGGACACAACGACATGCTGACTGCAGTGGGGTTTGAACCTGTGCTCCCCTGATCCAAACACCAACGCACTAGCCCACTGCGCCACAACCTCCCTGATATACACCTGAAAATGATAATATGTCCTCTTTTATTGACCATTTACAATGATGGTTCCTATGAAGTCCTGCCTACTTCAGCTCACACACCGTGGCGTTGTCTCCGTTGGAAAAGTGAAGGGCCAGACCAGCGTAGAGCGGCTGAGTGAAAGTGGTCTGCACTTTGTGGATGAACTTCATGGTTTCCCCCACGTCGTAAAACGACAGAACACCAGCCTTATGATCCAGGAACACTCCTACTTTGTAAGACGACTTAACCGAGATTGGCGTGTGGATATCGTCATGTCTGAATTCAAATTGATGATGACAAAATAACGCCCAAGACTTCTCGTTGTACCCAAATGCACAGTCTTTAGAGGTATTATGTCTTTTCATATCCTTGTATGCTACAGCTACTGTTAATAGTGCATCGTATTCCACCTCGAAGTAACAACGTCCAGTCAGACTCTCTCTACTCAGGACCTGATGTAAACCGTTGAATCTGTCTCGGGACGGAAAACACATTTCCAATAAAGGAGTTGTTGTTACTTTGCGGTACCTCTCAGAAAACAACATTATGCTAGTGTTTGATGAGTTTGGATCCAGCGTGATTTGACTTGCATACAGTAAGAACTCCTCTCTGGTCCTCAGTTGTTGCGACAGAAAAGCATCCACTTCAGTGACTGTCCGTAAAATCTTCGGCCACTTCTCCATCAGAACTTCCTGTAGTTTATCTCGGACTTCTGACACAGCTGTTGTCACGTCCTCAAAGTACTGCAGAGGACGGATTTTAGGGCTGGGTAACTCTGAGGATTCACCGAGAGGCGAGGCTGAGGAGAATTTTTGTAGAAACTGGGTGTGATCGTCTGTGTGTTGAAGCAGCTTCAGCTCAGCGTCTCTCCTCTTCAGCTCAGAGATGTCCTGCTCCAGCTTCTTCTGAAACTCTTTGACTCGACACACTTCACTTTCCTGCTGAGATTTAACCTTCTGCCTCACATCAGAGCTTTTTTTCTGGATGAAGCGGATCAGTTCGATGAAGATCTTCTCACTGTCCTTCACATCTTTATCAGCAGAGCGATTGATGCCATCCACCTCCTGCTGAAGCTGCTTCATAACTTCCCTGCTGCTGTGGATTCTCTGCTGGATGTTTTGTCGTCTCCCATTGATCTCTTTCTGCCTCTCAGTCCTCTCTGCTGCAGCTGACACCGTGTCGTGGCCTTTGTGTTCGTCCACAGAGCAGAGATAACAGATACACTGCTGATCAGTGCGGCAGAATAGCTTCATCACCTCGCCGTGACGAGAGCAGATGTTCTCCTGGAGCTTCTTGGAGGGCTCCACCAGCTTGTGTTTTTTAAACGTAGCTGCGTCAAAGTGAGGCTGGAGGTGTTTGTCACAATAAGAGGCCAGACACTGCAGACAGGATTTACAGGCTCTCAGTTTTCTCCCAGTGCAGACATCACAGGCCACATCTTCAGCTCCAGCGTAGCAGTGATCAGCAGGAGCAGCTTGGAGTCCAGTCTTCTTCAGCTTCTCCACTAAATCTGCTAACATGGTGTTTTTCAACAGGACAGGCCTCGGTGTGAAGCTCTGCCTACACTGAGGGCAGCTGTGGACTTCCTTCTCATCCTCTCCATCCCAGTGGTGTTTAATACAGTCCATGCAGTAGCTATGTCCACAGGAAGTAGTCACCGGATCCTTTAGTAGATCCAGACAGATCGAACAAGAGAAGGTTTCCCGGTCCAGCTGAACTCCTTTCTGCGCCATTTCACCTCTCAGTGACAGCGAGTGTCTGAGTTTCACTTCCTGAGAGCTGAAACTAGTGTGAGTGTGATCTGAATAGCATGTGTGTGTGCAGTGAATCACTCGTTACACCCATCCTCCAGCTGCAGCTCTACAGGGGAGGGAACCAGGAAGTATGACGCAATTCATAAGGGGGAGCGTTGTTAAAGAGACAGTACGTTCCAAAGTCCACTCTCTGCTTCCTTCAGTAAATGTGAGAGTTCAGTATCAGGCTGATCCAACTGTGAAAACACAAGGTGCTTTGAAGGCTGACTTAATGAGCGATTTATTTTCTAAATATATACCGTTGTATCTTATCTTTCCAGCCAGGCTGTTGTGCGATAAGCAGAGCTGGAAAGTACATTTACTCAAGTATTGTAGCTCGGTAGTTTATCGACATATTTATACTTTGAGTATTTCTATTTAATGCTACTTTATACTTACAGTCCACAACATTTCAGAAGCAGATATGTACTATTTTTCCTCGAGTACATTGATTTTAACACACAGTTACTTTGTGCATAAACACATGACATGATGATAGGGTATAAGAAAACACTTTACTACTAATCCACACAGTTTGCAAATGTTGTCCAACTTGACCAAAGACTAAATGATCTTACATGTATAAATAACTGGATAATATAATAACCATCATGTGTCTGTATTTTTGTATATGTACTGTAGTATATGTAATGTTATAATTTGTATATTTATGTTTTAGGACACCCTTGAGAATGAGATGCTAAATCTCAACGGGCTATTCGAAAAATAAATAAATAATAATGAAATACTTTGAAAAGATCCATTCTGCATATCGAGTGATATACCTGATGGTACTTTTGTACTACCATTGTGCAGAATTAATATTTGTACTTCTTAAACTACAAGTATATGTTGATGCTAATACTTTGTACTTTCCCTTAAGTAATTTTTTTTAATTCAGGTCCATTACTTGTAATTAATTATTTTAGAACCATAGTACAAGGTTGTTGGAAAACTTTGTTCACACCCACTAAACTTTGGATCCAGATTACAATCATGACACTGGGTGCAGGAGAACCAGGTTGAATAACAGGATTACAAATAGAACATAATAATTTGGATTAGTACATTATTTTTTTGCCTTTTCACTTTTCTTTGAGATAAAAAAAAAGAATAAAAATCAATGAATAAATCCTGAAACAGTTTTCATGATAACTTAAAGGGGCCAAATTCTGCTCATTTTCAGTATGTAGTGTCTCTACTTTAAAGAGTCCTCTCCTGCTGATGTTCAGGTGTATATCAGTATGTAGTGTCTCTACTTTAAAGAGTCCTCTCCTGCTGATGTTCAGGTGTATATCAGTATGTAGTGTCTCTACTTTAAAGAGTCCTTTCCTGCTGATGTTCAGGTGTATATCAGTATGTAGAGTCTCTACTTTAAAGAGTCCTCTCCTGCTGATGTTCAGGTGTATATCAGCATGTAGTGTCTCTACTTTAAAGAGTCCTCTCCTGCTGATGTTCAGGTGTATATCAGTATGTTGTGTCTCTACTTTAAAGAGTCCTCTCCTGCTGATGTTCAGGTGTATATCAGTATGTAGTGTCTCTACTTTAAAGAGTCCTCTCCTGCTGATGTTCAGGTGTATATCAGTATGTAGTGTCTCTACTTTAAATAGTCCTCTCCTGCTGATGTTCAGGTGTATATCAGTATGTAGTGTCACTACTTTAAAGAGTCCTCTCCTGCTGATGTTCAGGTGTATATCAGCATGTAGTGTCTCTACTTTAAAGAGTCCTCTCCAGCTGATGTTCAGGTGTTTATCAGTATGTAGTGTCTCTACTTTAAAGAGTCCTCGCCTGTTGATGTTCAGGTGTATATCAGTATGTAGTGTCTATACTTTAAAGAGTCCTCTCCTGCTGATGTTCAGGTGTATATCAGTATGTAGTGTCACTACTTTAAAGAGTCCTCTCCTGCTGATGTTCAGGTGTATATCAGCATGTAGTGTCTCTACTTTAAAGAGTCCTCTCCAGCTGATGTTCAGGTGTATATCAGTATGTAGTGTCTCTACTTTAAAGAGTCCTCTCCTGTTGATGTTCAGGTGTATATCAGTATGTAGTGTCTCTACTTTAAAGAGTCCTCTCCTGCTGATGTTCAGGTGTATATCAGTATGTAGTGTCTCTACTTTAAAGAGTCCTCTCCTGCTGATGTTTAGGTGTATATCAGCATGTAGTGTCTCTACTTTAAAGAGTCTTCTCCTGCTGATGTTCAGGTGTATATCAGCATGTAGTGTCTCTACTTTAAAGAGTCCTCTCCTGCTGATGTTCATGTGTATATCAGTACGTAGTGTCTCTACTTTAAAGAGTCCTCTCCTGCTGATGTTCAAGTGTATATCAGTATGTAGTGTCTCTACTTTAAAGAGTCCTCTCCTGCTGATTTTTAGGTGTATATCAGTGTCTCTACTTTAAAGAGTTATCTCCTGTTGATGTTCAGGTGTATATCAGTATGTAGTGTCTCTACTTTAAAGAGTCCTCTCCTGCTGATGTTCAGGTGTATATCAGTATGTAGTGTCTCTACTTTAAAGAGTCCTCTCCTGCTGATGTTCAGGTGTACATCAGTATGTAGTGTCTCTACTTTAAAGAGTAGAAACAAATCTCACTCTTGAGAGTTTTCAATTTTTATTATATTGCAGCAGTTTTAATATGATTACAAAAGAGAGGCTTTGTTTAATCTTAGAAATCATTATATGTCTAAACTTCCTCCAGGAAACAATTAGTCAGATCCTCTCAAAAAGTACATTCGTTCATCATTTGCCCGTACATGTTGACACCATAAATGAAAAGAATATATCTCTTCCTACTTATTGATTAAGATAGCACTAAAAACACTGCAATGATTTACATTAATATTAACATGGGACAGCACAGATACTTTTACAGAAACAATATGAGCAGCAATATCAAGTCATTATGAGATCACCACGGTTTCCAGATTAATTGTGAGCGTTAACGCTGACGGCTCTAATAGAGATGGAACAAATCTGAAAATCGAAATCAGAAATGCCACCTAAAAACATCCTGTCTACTACAACTGACACACCGTGGCATTGTCTCCTTTTGGTAATCTAAGAGAAATTCCAGCGTAGAGCGGCTGAGTGAAAGTGGTCTGCACAGTATGAAGGAGTTTCATGGTTTCCCCCACGTCGTAAAAGGACAGAATGCCAGCCTTATGATCCAGGTACACTCCTACTCTGAGGGAGGAGTCACCTGAAATCCGAGTTAATTTTTTGTTATGTATGACACCAACGTAATCCCAGCGACTGTCTAACCCCCAGGACTTGTCATTATATCCAAATGTAAATTCATGATAGGGCCCTGAATTGCTCACATCCTTGTATGTAACAGCTATGGTGACGATTGCATCCCACTTCACCTCCCAGTAACAACGTCCAGTCAGACTCTCTTTACTCAGGACCTGGTAAGTGTGATTGAATCCGGCGTGTTTTTTAGAAACTGAGACTTCCATATTGGTTACTTTACGGTTCCCCTCTGACAATATCATCCAGGGGTGTGCCGTCTTTGGATCCAGCGTTATATGACATGCATACCATAAGAAATCCTCTCTGGTCGTCAGTTGATGTGAAAGTAAAGTTTCCACTTCAGTGACTGTCTGTAAAATCTTTGACCACTTCTCCATCAGAACTTCCTGTAGTTTATCTCGGACTTCTGACACAGCTGTTGCCACGTCGCCAAAGTACTGCAGAGGATGGATTTTGGATAATTCTGTGGATTCACTGAGTTGTGAGAGCGAGGAGTAATTTTGTAGGAACTGGTTGTGATCCTCTGTGTGAGAGAGCAGCTTCAGCTCAGCGTCTCTCCTCTTCAGCTCAGAGATCTCCTGCTCCAGCTTCTTCTGAAGCTCTTTGGCTCGACTCACTTCTCTCTCCTGCTGGGATCTGACCTGCTGCTTCACATCAGAGCTTCTCTTCTCCATGAGACGGATCAGCTCAGTGAACGTCTTCTCACTGTCCTCCACTGCTTTATCAGCAGAGCCATTGACGGCCTTCACCTCCTGCTGAAGCAGCTTCACCTCCTTCTCTCCGTCCTGGATTCTCTGCTGGATGTTTAGTCGACTCCCCTCCAGCTCTCTCTGCCTCTCAGTCCTCTCTGCTGTAGCTGACACTGTGTCGTGGCCTTTGTGTTCGTCCACAGAGCAGAGATAACAGATAAACTGCTGATCAGTGCGGCAGAACATCTTCATCACCTCGTCGTGACGAGAGCAGATGTTCTCCTGGAGCTTCTTGGAGGGCTCCACCAGCTTGTGTTTTTTAAACGTAGCTGCGTCAAAGTGAGGCTGGAGGTGTTTCTCACAATAAGAGGCCAGACACTGCAGACAGGATTTACAGGCTTTCCGTTTTCTCCCAGTGCAGACATCACAGGCCACATCTTCAGCTCCAGCATAGCAGTGATCAGCAGGAGCTTCTCCAAGTCCAGTCTTCTTCAGCTCCTCTACTAAATCTGCTAACATGGTGTTTTTCACCAGGACAGGCCTCGGTGTGAAGCTCTTTCTACACTGAGGGCAGCTGTAGACTTCCTTCTCATCGTCTTTGTCCCAGAAGCTTTTAATACATTTCATGCAGTAGCTGTGTCCACAGGGGATAGTCACCGGATCCTTCAGTGAATCAAGACAAATCGAACAGCAACCACAACCTGTTTCATGGACTAGCTGAAATCCTTGCTGCGCCATCGTACCACACTGAGAGCAAATGCCTGAAAGTCTCACTTTCCTCACAACAGAAACAAGCCTGTGCGCTTATATGCCCTGAATGAGGCTTATCAGCTCTTGTCACCACATTTCTATTACACCAATCAGCACATTGTCAAGGGGAGGGCACATGGAAGAAGCTCTGTTTGAGAGCAGGAAGGCGGTGGAGAGGTTATCAGGGTTTTATGGTGGCAACGTGGCAGAGGACTATTACCCTGTTCCAAAGTCCTTCCAATAAGTTAGTGAGGCTACAAGGCAATCCCACTGAGAGAAAACAAAGTGCTTGAGGGCTGTTTTTCTGATTTCTTGAACACTTTTCTGCACATTTCTTGCAAGTAACTTTGTTGATGGAATAAAACTTAGCTCAGTTACCTGCACACAGCTGCAAGAACTTTGTCCAGTTCTTCATTCAGCGACTGTTTAATATACTAAAACACCATCTTTTACATTCGTAGAGCCATGACTTTTCTATGGGAGAAACTCATTTTAGGGGGCAGTAAAGCTTCGGCAGCGTCTAAAGTATTTCTACATTACATTTCAAAATATTCCAAATACATATAATGTACTTTAATTCGTATCTGTGTTATCTGGGAGTGTGCAGGGTTTCTGTTAAGCATTGAAAGTCGTAAAATAGAGCTACTCTTCCTCTATTATCAGCCCCAAACAGTACATTTTGCTATTGCATTTCTGTGTACGGTATTCTGTACTTCCTTACGGATAAGTAGTCTGCAATACAAATATGTGAACTTGTAATATGAAATTTAGGGAGCCTAAAGACATCAGTGTCTAAACACTGCTCTGGTGTAATGAGAGCAGAGTGTGATAGTTAAGGTGAAATTTGAACAATTTAAGATGTAATTTGGACTTTAAATGGTTAAAAATCAGGGAAATTATTTTTAAATAAACCTGAATTACCCTTAAATATTTTATAAACACATTTAAGATTGTGTCATGAATGCATTTTTGCTGTGAGAGCAACATAAATGATAAGGTCTAGCTGCCAAAAAAAAAAACACCTCAGAAATTAAATTGAGCATTTTTGTGATTTCTGAGATTTTACTTTAAAAGGTTAAAAAAATAAACTGCAGCTGTTTTTCAAATGGAGGTTTCCTGCTGTTGTTTTTTTGATATCTATATCCAAGACTTGTTTATTTCTTGCACATCTTTTTATTTATATACATTTCTCATTACATGTTTACGACAACCACACAATAAATCAATCCCTCTTCTTCCTTATTGATTAATATAGCAATAAATAACACTGCATTGCATTACAGTTCAAACTAGAGAATGCAATTCCTGAGGAAATTGCGAGTGGGAATGCTTTACGGCCCGTCCACACAGCGGCGTGCGTTGACGCTTGCCGGCGGGCGTGTCTGACACTCGACCAACAACCAATCACATGAATCTCCCGCCCCTGACACACAAGCAGCGGTTTGATTGGCTAGAGCTTGTACTGGCATATGATTCGATTGGCTGACGCTTCTGCCGAGGCTTTCAAAAGTTGAACATTGCTCAACTTTTGCAGTGAGCCACGCCAGCAACGCTCCGTGTCGCTTCCCACGATGCAGTTCGGCTAAAAGTGACGTCACCCCATTCAAAGTGAATGGGCAGAAGCGTTGGAAGCTTCAACGCACGCCGCTGTGTGGACGGGCCGTTATGGTGAAAATTTGAAGCTGAACTGCTATGCTGAAATGTAATGTGTAAGAAGAAAGTGAAGAATTTAGATTGAAATGATTTATGAACACTGGGGGCTTGAATATGTGATGAGAGAAGAAAAGAAAGTAAAGTGGCTTGGAAAAGCAGTAGAATATTTGAACTGCAAACTATTGAACTAACTTGATGGCGAATGATCTGTCGCCATGGCAACGGTATTTGATGACACCCCATAATACGCTTAGATATGTTGATGGCTGCATCATTACCAAACCTGTGAAGTTTTGGGCTGTTTGGAGCATTTTCACTGAAGTTATGAGAAAACCGTGTTTCATGGCGAGCATTGTGTTGCCATGGCAACAGCATTTGAAGAAATCTCAAAACTGTCCCGTAGATGTCTTCCAGGCTGGACTGTTTGCACACGTGAAGTTTTAGCACTTTTTGACAATTTTCCTAGGAGTTATAGCAATATCGTGTTATATTGCAAGGGATGCGTTGCCATGGCAACAGCTTTTGAGGAAAACAGCTTTTGAGGAAAACTCACTAATGGCACATAGACATGTTGAGAGCTGGACCATTAACTGTCATCTGAAGTCTGGTGGTGTTTTGACCATTTTCATATCAGTTACGACAACATTGTGTTTTTTGGCGAGGGATACATTTCCATGGAAACAGCCTATGGTGAGATCTCAGATTTGGCGTAGAGCTGTTGAGGCATGGACCAGTGATATACAAGCGAAGTTTGGGGATGATCGGACCGTGTCCATTGGAGTTACAGCGACATCTTGTTTTATGGCGAGGTATACGTTTCCATGGAAATGGCATATGATGACACCCCATAATTGACGTAGAGCTGTTGAGGGCAGGACCATTAACCATTATCTGAAGTCTGCTGCTCTGAGCATGTCAGTTGGAGTTATGGCATCATCGTGTTCCATGACACAGGTGTTTACCGACGTGTCCAGAGATCAAAGGTTTCCATGGTAATGTGCAGTAATCAGTGAGAGGAGATAATTTTCATTGTTCTGAATGAGAGATAAACCTGTTGCATGTGAACGTTTTGTTGAAGAACCGTAACAGATATCGGTGAAATTTCAAAGCGTGAAGCATGTCAAGGAACTTGAGCTTCTGAAATGTACTTTTTGTGTACTTTCGGGTTAATAACGTGGCCTTTTTGGCAGTTTAACTAAAGGTGTGCAGCTGCTGTGGTGGGGAAAGATGAGACTGAACTTACAATGGGGTTTAATGGAGACATGTTGAACGTTTTTGTCATTTCATTACATTACATTACATTGCATTTAGCTGACGCTTTTATCCAAAGCGACTTACAATAAGTGCGTTCGACCAACAAGATACAAGCTTGAAGAAAACAGAATCATAAAAGTACATCAGGTTTCATAGAGCTAAAACATTTCAAGTGCTACTCAACTGGCTTTAGGTAAGCCAGTCCTTTATTAGTATATAAGTGCTTTGTTAGTAATTCTATCGCTCGAAGTGGAGTCGAAAGAGATGAGTTTTCAGTCTGCGCCGGAAGGTGTGTAAGCTTTCTGCTGTCCTGATGTCAATGGGGAGCTCATTCCACCATCTTGGAGTCAGGATAGCAAACCCACGTGTTTTTGCTGATGGGAACTTGGGTCCCCCTCGCAGTGCGGGTGCAGCGAGCTGTTTGGCTGATGCAGAGCGGATATTTTTTCTTCATGCCCTCAAGAGGCATTTTGTTTCATTTATTTTATTTTTCAAGCTACGAGATGTTTGCCTACGTTTCTCATGAAAAATTATGTCTCAGGAATGTAGGGTTTGGGAATTATGGAAGGTTTAGAAGAAAATATGAAGGCAAAATTAAAGCTGTCCTCCACTCTAGCTGTGACATCACGCACTCTAAAATCTGAAGAAGGCCTCTTTACCAAGGTCTGAACAATGTTTATTATCTCTAAAGTACGAATCAGATTTAAAAGTTGTGTTACAGGAATAATGTCAGAAAGAAGTGTAACGTTTTAAAGTTGGAATGAGGTTTCTGAGTGAAAGTATGAAGGAGCAGTTAGCAGTTGAAGTTGCATGAAGATTGTTCAAGTCTGAAGAGTTTCTCCATTGACTTCCATGTTAAAAATGTGATGAATTATGAGATGTCTCTCTGGAATTATGAAAGTTATGAATAAGAAAAATAATAGCCATCGATTCCCGACCGAGCTGAAAGTTTTGATGTTTGAATGGAGTTTCTGCGATGTGGAACGTGGGAGAAGACGAGGCGCAAAATAACCCGGCGGAATAATAAATAATTTTGTGCGTATGAATATTTTAAGAACCCAGCTCTGGTGGTGGGTTCTGCTGCTGGCAGTAAAACATCCACTTCAGTCGGTGAGACGTTTGTCAATTTTTCTCTCAGAACATTTCGTAGTTTATCTCTGAATTTTGACAAAGCAGCTTTCACATCTTCAAGGTAGCTCAGAGGAAGGATTCTGGAGGAGTGTGTAGCTTCACTGAGGGCTGGCAGTGAGGGGTAGCTGTGCAGAAACTGGTTGTGATCCTCTGTGTGAGACAGCAGCTTCAGCTCAGCGTCTTTGACTCGACTCACTTCACTCTTCTGCTGGGATCTGACCTGCTGCTTCACATCAGAGCTTCTTCTCTCCATGAGACGGTTCAGCTCAGTGAACATCTTCTCACTGTCCTCCACTGCTTTATCAGCAGAGCCATTGATGGCCTTCACCTCCTGCTGAAGCAGCTTCACCTCCTTCTCTCCGTCCTGGATTCTCTGCTGGATGTTTAGTCGACTCCCCTCCAGCTCTCTCTGCCTCTCAGTCCTCTCTGCTGCAGCTGACACTGTGTCGTGGCCTTTGTGTTCGTCCAGAGAGCAGAGATAACAGATACTCTGCTGATCAGTGCGGCAGAACATCTTCATCACCTCGTCGTGACGAGAGCAGATGTTCTCCTGGAGATTCTTGGAGGGCTCCACCAGCTTGTGTTTCTTAAACGTAGCTGCGTCATAATAAGGCTGGAGGTGTTTGTCACAATAAGGGGCCAGACACACGAGGCAGGACTTACAGGCTCTCAGTTTTCTCCCAGTGCAGACATCACAGGCCACATCTTCAGCTCCAGCGTAGCAGTGATCAGCCGGAGCTTCTTCAAGTCCAGTCTTCTTCAGCTCCTCTACTAAATCTGCTAACATGGTGTTCTTCAGCAGGACAGGCCTCGGTGTGAAGCTCTTTCTACACTGAGGGCAGCTGTAGACTTCCTTCTCATCGTCTTTGTCCCAGAAGCTTTTAATACATTTCATGCAGTAGCTGTGTCCACAGGGGATAGTCACCGGATCCTTCAGTGAATCAAGACAAATCGAACAGCAACCACAACCTGTTTCATGGACTAGCTGAAATCCTTGCTGCGCCATTGTACCACACTGAGAGCAAATGCCTGAAAGTCTCACTTTCCTCACAACAGAAACAAGCCTGTGCGCTTATATGCCCTGAATGAGGCTTATCAGCTCTTGTCACCACATTTCTATTACACCAATCAGCACATTGTCAAGGGGAGGGCACATGTAAGAAGCTCTGTTTGAGAGCAGGATGGCGGTGGAGAGGTTATCAGGGTTTTATGGTGGCAACGTGGCAGAGGACTATTACCCTGTTCCAAAGTTCTTCTCATAAGTTAGTGAGGCTACAAGGCAATCCCACTGAGATAAAACAAAGTGCTTGAGGGCTGTTTTTCTGATTTCTTGAACACTTTTCTGCACATTTCTTGCAAGTAACTTTGTTGATAAAATGACACTTTGTCCAATTCTTCATTCAGCGACTTTTTGATATACTAAAACAACATCTTTTGCATTCATACAGCCAATACTTCAACTCATATTAGGGGGCAGTAAAGCTTCGACAGCCTCTAAATGTGTTCTACATTACAATTCAAAATATAAAAAATATACATAATGTACTTGAATTATTATGTGTTATCTGGGAGTGGGCAGGGTTTCTATTAAGCCCCACGGACCCTTCGGCGGGTACGAAATCACAACACAACAGTGTCTGAGGGCTTCTTAAGATTTAATAAACTATGAATGTTTCATATTCATGTAACGGGAAGAAACTCAGCTAACTGATGATTTTTTTTATTTTTAGCAAAAAAAAACACAAGGCTAACGCTGAGCCTCTGAATTAGCCCTGAGCAAATTAGCACAGAACTCACGGTATAACACCCTTATTACTTATCGTAACTGCACATCCAACCCATCGATTAGCATCGTGAGAATACACAGAATCGATAGGTACATACATCATCACTCCATGATCAGATCGCGACATTAGAAACAAAAACAGACATCACAACACGTGGCATTAGGTAGCAAACACAGCAATATGTCTTACCTTTGTTGTTGTCTGATCAAAAGTTGTCTTCAATGGCATTACAATGATAAAAACGCTGCTGAAGTTAATCCATAGGTTAATCCAATGTGTCTGTGTCCCTTTGAAATTATTTCTGATAATCCATCAGCCATAAACCTACTTTTAAGTTTTCAGATTTCAGAGCGTAAGTTAGGTTTCGCTTTAGGCAAACTGCATGCGCATAGCTCTAATTTCTCAATGGTAACGTTGGTGTGTATGTGGCAATTCCCCTTCGATTCTATTGGCTCTAACGGTTCAAAAGAGATGTCAATCATCAAAATTGACCAATGGATTCCAGAGAAACGGCAAATACGCCCATTTCCACCCAAATGACCCCAGAGGTGGAGTTTTTCTAAACCTCTCTAAAAAGTTCAAATGTCACTTGTTTTGCATCAATCTTGATACAGGGTACTTATTATATGTTGTACTTTGGATTCCTAAAGCTTTTAGTGTACCTTACCATCATCCAAGGGTAGTTTTCACTATAAGTAAAAAATAATTTTTGGACGGACACTATAATTTACAGTTTTTTGCTATGTTCAATCTGAATTTTCTTTAAAATAAAAAACATCTATATTTATTTTGACTTTTCTACATCCAACTCACAGGTTTATCATTACTTTGAGAAAAAAGATTATTAATTTACCCCTTTTAGAAGTGAAGTTATTGTCATTTGTTCTGGATAGGTCATTTTTTAGCCTGAGACCTGAAAAACAGGCTTGGGGCTTAACAGGTTAAGCATTGTAAGTCGTAAAACAGAGCCAATCCTCCTCTATTATCAGCCCCAAACAGTACATTGTGATATTGCATTTCTGTGTACTGTATTCTGTAGTCCCATACGGATAAGCAGTCTGCAATACAAATATGCCAAGTTGTAATATGAAACATAGGGAGCTTAAAAACATCAGGGTCTAAACACGTCTCTGGTGTAATGAGAGCAGAGTGTGCGCTTGTGTGTACGTCCTGTGTTGTGAGGTTGCAAAAGCCTTATCAGTTTAAGCGTTAATTCACCCGAATGACTAAATAGGTAAAAAAACAAAGTAGTGGTACAGTATGTGGCCTTGCAGATCCATCTTCATCTGCTTCATTTGCTTTTGAAACGGACATTTGATAAAGTCGAAAAGGTGAAAATAATTTGGATTTATAACAGGGATAGAATTGAAAATCAGTAATTTTCTACAGACGTTTGTAGTCCGACAACAACATTTCAATTTGTTAAAAAGGACCATGGTATTTCTGCATGTAAATGGTGCTGCAACACAAGCAATATGAGAACAACTAACGAGCTTTTTGAACATATAAGCAAGGAAACATTTCACAGTAGAGACACTAAATACTGATATGGACCTGAAAAGAGCATAATAAATGTCCTCTTTAAATATTTGTAATTATTACCAAGAAGCAACGTCCAAAGCCAATACAGAAGAGCCTCAATCCTGCATTATCTCTAATATCCAGCAGGGGGCAGCTCCTCTGATTACAAACAAAATCTAGATTGTAGGGGTGTAACGGTATCCGTATTCGTCCCGTACCGTCACGGTTCAGACGTCACGGTTCGGCACATGCAGTCACACGACGAATACGCCTTTTTTTTACGAGTGGGAAAAAGTCATTCAGGGCAGTATCCACTTCACTATTTATAATCCAGGGGGCGGTATTGCGCCTAAAAGCTGTTTGCCAGCCGCCCTTAAACAACAAATGAAGAACAAGAAAAGTTAGTATGGCGATTTCAGATAACACACAGGAGCTAGAACCCACCTGCTTCTTTTAAATCAGCTGTGTGGGAACATTTCGGGTTCCCTGTGGACTACAACAACGATGGAGTGCGAGTGGTGGATCGGAAGTGGACGGTGTGTTGGCGTTGTTAGACAGCGGTGCGGTATGCTAATGGTAACACATGCCATGCTTAATCATATCAGAAGGCATCACCCAGATTTGCCAATCACCGGAGCCCGGCAAAAGACAGCAGCAGTTCAGCAGCTGATCCCCGCTGTTTTTAAGAAGCCAAGAGACATGAAAGCCGTGAGACCAAAATAAATAAGGAAAGCTTTTGGCATATGTTTTTCAACGACTATGCGCTCTTGAAACACTTTCTTATTATTTATGATGTAATATTTTCAAGACATTCTTTTTAGTTTTACAGCTTGATGAAACCTTTTTGTTTGACATTCAGCCATTATAGAAAATAAGGCCATCTGAGTGTGTGTGGTTTGTTTTTAACTGTTTAATACAGTTAATTATTCAAAATGTCAGAGTTCCTTATTTCTAAACTGAAACTTGCACTACTGTTCAAAATAAATAACAACAAACCTGGAATTATGCATTTGGGACTTTTTTTTGCTTTTTCTTGTTGTACCGAACCGTGACCCCCAAACCGAGGTACGAACCGAACCGTGACTTCTGTGAACCGTTACACCCCTACTAGATTGTATGGAAGTCTATGAGAAAATGACCCTACATCCCACTTAAGTTATTACCTCATTAAACACCTTACCTCTGTTTGAGAGCTTCTCCAGCAGCGTCCTGAAGCGTTGCACTACAGACGGAGAGACGTCGTAGGTGTAAACGTCCGTCACTGGAACGGGTTGACAACGTCCAAACATGGCATCTGTCAACACACAAACAGGAAGTTAGAGACATGCTTTTTAGATTTTACATTTCAGAGCTAAAATGTATTGCAATTAACAACAACAATGATTAAAATATCATGCTGATGACGATGACCCAAACTTTTATTTTCACGAACAATGTACGCTAGAGGGGGTCCAGAAGGTTCTTTAAGCTTCTTCTTGCCCCTTTTTACGTAACATGGCGGAAACTATTTGAGAATTTATACCTTGAAAATGTTTTTGTTATTTGTTTTTTTTGCTTCTTTTTGTTATCAGAATGAGAATACCCTTATTAGTCCAACAGAGGGGAAATGTACATTGTTACAGCAGAAAAGAGCCAAAGACAGCTTAATGTTACCTAAGAAGCATGCATAAGAGTATTAAAGATTAAAAAAAATGATAATAAAAAATAGTTACACATCATTATTATTGTTTGTTTCATTTCTAACAAGTTCAATAAATTGACTAATACAAAAAAATATTGCAAAACATCCCTGTAACCCTGTAAAAAGCATTGTTTCGGGTGTGAAAATTACAATATATCTCTAACTGTATATCTGCATGTGTGATTGTGTATGGGAGATGTTGCATAATGGCACTTGTAGATGGTAATTCAGGCCTCTTGTCTATAAATAGCCTCTGCGACACTTAGGCCGTCTCTATCAAAACTCAAGCTCCATCTAACAGTCAGCGGAGGATGACCAGCAGCAGGTCCGCCATGATGTGATTACTCTGAGACGTTTCACTGTTATTTTGTTGTTACAATGACAGAGAGGAGGGAGAGGAAGCTGGATATTTGTAAACTGAACATTAGAGCCTGACATTTATCCAAAAATACAGTAAAGAGGACACTTTAAGCTCATGTTCAGGTGTATGTAGAGTCTCTACTTTAAAGAGTCCTCTCCTGCTGATGTTCAGGTGTATATCAGAATGTAGTGTCTCTACTTTAAAGAGTCCTCTCCTGCTGATGTTCAGGTGTATGTAGAGTCTCTACTTTAAAGAGTCCTCTCCTGCTGATGTTCAGGTGTATATCAGAATGTAGTGTCTCTACTTTAAATAGTCCTCCCCTGCTGATGTTCAGGTGTATATCAGTATGTAGTGTCTCTACTTTAAAGAGTCCTCTCCAGCTGATGTTCAGGTGTATATCAGTATAGTGTCTCTACTTTAAAGAGTCCTCTCCTGCTGATGTTCAGGTGTTTATCAGTATGTAGTGTCTCTACTTTAAAGAGTCCTCTCCTGCTGATGTTCAGGTATATATCAGTATGTAGTGTCTCTACTTTAAAGAGTCCTCTCCTGCTGACGTTCAGGTGTATATCAGTAGTGTCTCTACTTTAAAGAGTCCTCTCCTGCTGACGTTCAGGTGTATATCAGTATGTAGTGTCTCTACTTTAAAGAGTCCTCTCCTGCTGACGTTCAGGTGTATATCAGTATGTAGTGTCTCTACTTTAAAGAGTCCTCTCCTGCTGACGTTCAGGTGTATAGAAAAACACCACAGGAAAGGGAATTCCCCAAAAAGCATAATAGAGCCACTTTAATATCCCGAATATGTTATACTTGCGTCAAGCTCTGTTTTGCTGTTAAAAAAAAGGATGTGTAATAATAAAAATAAATGATTTTGTTAAAGGATGCCGCCATGAAATGTAGAAAGCAGCTCTCTCTCCAATGTACAACATAACGAGTGCACTGCTAAAAAAAAGGAGGCAATTTGAGATGTCGATTGAAAAGGAAACATAATGATAGAGGGGGGGAAAAACACATTAAATGAAAAACAATAATTGCAAAAGATTGGAAACGTTTTTTATTTGGATTTTAATCAAATGACCATCTCTTCCCTCTTACAGTAAAACACCGTGTGCTGCATCATCCTCTCCAATCTGGACCATAAATCACAATACGACACGTCTGCCTCTGAATTACGGCCTCCGGTACAAAACCGGGATAAATTACACAGCCTTGGATATGCATGCATATAATTATGAGAGATAATTCAAGATGTTCCCTCTGCGGAGACACATCAATTGTGTTATATGAGATCACAAGAAGAAGAGGAAAGAAGGGATTGTGTTGCACTCGTTATTTTGTTTCTCATTTATTGCATATATATGTGCTTTAGGGTTAGTATTTAAGTAAATGTGTGTTACTGTAAGACCTCAGACCTGTATGTAAAATAAACCTATGATAGTAATGTTGGTATGCAGGCAATGAGAGAGAAACGGTGCTTTAACCTATTTGAATAGTATCATTTGATGTTTGTAGTCGTTCAATTTAGAATTCAGGCTTTAATAGATGAATTAGTCCATGCTGTTAAGAAGAGCTGATGAACCTGCAGATTTTGCCTTTTGGGTTTAACAGTGAAGAAAAGTCAGATTAAAACCATAAATTGCCCTAATAATGAAACTTCTTGTCATTTTAGAGCAATTGATAAACTTGTAGTTATGTGTTAACCCTACTACACGTTATTATTGTACTTTTGCTAAAGCAATAAAACATGTTGTCACAGGGATTGTGCATCAATGGCACTTAGGTCTGGACACGGCGTTGCTCTGCAGGGACTCGCTGACAGGAAGTCCTGCTGCCTAATGAACTGGATTAAGACATTTTAAAGGATCTTTTGCTCCGGGAACCAGCACAAGTCCATCATCCCTCACCGACCACAAGATCAATGACATCTGGCATCGCTTAGCAGGCCTGGCTGCTTCGAATGGATACAGGAAGGCCCAATCCCAAATCACCCCCTACACCCTACCCCTACACACTCCCCCTCCGTTTGCGCGTTCGCGCGGAGGGTCCGCCATATTAAGTGCTATTCCAAAGCAACGAGTGTGGAGCGGTGTGGAGGGGGAGTGGGCTATCAAGCCCTCAAACAGCGAGTCTGCATCGGTGCTGACCTGAGTCCGGTCTCTACCTGACCGGAGTCACGCTGTGTGTGTCCGTCAGGAAACACGCTGTTTACAAGTAGTTCCAGCAAACATCCACTGATAAACTGCGATGTTAACAACCTCATGATAACCTCATATGTTTTAACTTAGGATCATACCTGTGTTTAGTCTAGAAAAAGGTAAATGTGTGCATTTTATTATAAAGTTGTGTATATTTACAGACTGTAGCAAAAACTAAGAAGCTTATAAACATCAGGTTTAAAACTAAAAGAGCTTTACAAAAAACACAATTAAAGATGTTTGGAGTTTTATTTGAGTTATTAATTTACATTTTTTGTCAAAGAGATGCTGATTTGAAACCGTTGTTACATACAGTTACGGCATTTCCTGTTTCCTGCGGAGAGAGGGGAGGCCGTCCCAAAGCTTGCTGCTGTATTTATACCCTTAACCCTTAATGGAGGGAACTTCATTCAGCTGCGAGTGTGGCTACAGACGGAGTTCACTCCGTCACGGAGGGGTAGGGTCGAGGGGGTGATTTGGGATTGGGCCGAAGTAAAGGGGTTTCCTTCATACATGTCGAGAACTGGATCTGGATATAATGTGTTAGGAAAAGAGAGCTGCAGTAATAAGTCTTAAAAACAGGAGATAAGTCGGCATTCTACAACTCCCTGTTCCCTTTTCTAGAACTAAATGGCTTTTTGAAGAATAACATTAGCCGCCTTTAGCTTAGCGGTGGTGATGTGAAGTCATGTGACCGTGCTGTAGTTCCTTATATTCCAATATTAGCCACATTTAGCTTAGCGGTGGTGACGTGAAGTCATGTGACCGTGCTGTAGTTCCTTTATAGCCCAACATTAGCCTCCTTTAGCTTAGCGGTGGTGACGTGAACTCATGTGACCGTGCTGTAGTTCCTTTATAGCGAAACATTAGCCATCTTTAACTTAGCGGTGGTGATGTGAAGTCATGTGACCGTGCTGTAATTCCTTTATAGCCCAACATTAGCCGCCTTTAGCTTAGCGGTGGTGACGTGAAGTCATGTGACCGTGCTGTAGTTCCTTTATAGCCCAACATTAGCCACCTTTAGCTTAGCGGTGGTGATGTGAAGTCATGTGACCGTGCTGTAGTTTCTTTATAGCCCAACATTAGCTGCCTTTAGCTTAGCGATGGTTACGTGAAGTCATGTGACCGAGCTGTAGTTCCTTTATAGCCCAACATTAGCTGCCTTTAGCTTAGCGGTGGTTACGTGAAGTCATGTGACCGAGCTGTAGTTCCTTTATAGCCCAACATTAGCCACCTTTAGCTTAGCGGTGGTGAAGTGAAGTCATGAGAAATGAGCGAAAACCGAAAAAATAAGCAGCATCTGGCTGCATTTCAATGATATTGGAGAAAGCAAAGCTGAGTGCAGGATTTGTAAAATGAAAATAACCTTCAGAGCAGGTTTTTTTTGGTAACCACTCAGGATTTATTGTCAGAGGGTGGGGGAAGTTCAGATCTTGTACTTGAGTAAAAGTATCAGAGTGTAGGAATACGCAGTTACAATAAAAAGTCCTGCATTCAAAATGTTACAAGTAAAAGTACAAAAGTATTATCATCAAAATATAGTTAAAGTACCACCTGCAGAGGGATCTAGATGCAGGTGTTCTTTTCCCCATAGAGACACCTCGCTGCACATTATCCCTTGCATAAAGATAGATTGTGGGTCCCTTATAACATGTTGTACACAGTGGAAATAAACATTCTGGTCACCTCAACATCAGGGATCTTATACATTAAACTCCTTCTGAATCAAACTGTCACGGTAGCCTTACCTTACTGATCCCTCTCACGTTACTTTACCAGCAGAGAGAAAATGGATTATTAAATTATTAATGTGACTAATAAAGAGCAATTTGATTATTAAATATTATTCTGTTGATCGATGTCATTACATTTGGTGAAAAGCACATAATGACTTGTTTAAGACTCGTTTTGTCAAAGTTTAGGACTTGGACTTGACTTGAACTTGACCATCCTGACTTGAGACTTGACTCGGACTTGCAAAACAATGACTTGGTCCCACCTCTGGATTTCACATCATTCATCCACATCTGTAAAGTAACTAAAGGTATTAAATACATGTA